CCCGATGGGCCGGTACCGAAGTGGGCCGGTCGGATAAGTCACTAGCACATCCCCCACTCCCCCCGTTGACAATTTACTAGTGGTACCGAAGTGGGCCGGTCGAGAGTCCCGGGCTGATTTTTAGTCCCAGTCCACCACTGGCTACATGACCGTATGATCGCCCATATTGACGCACCTAATTCCTAAACTTCTAACAGATACAAAATAAACCGATCCTTCAGCCTCATATGAGCTCTCCGACACGTTCAAAATGAAACTGTCATCGCTGTCTGAGCTTGCTGCTGTGTGCGCCATCGTGCGTTTACATGCAGATGCTGGGATCCTGGACGGTGCAGCTGGAGCGCTGTGCCCGCATTGACGTCACCCATAATTTGGCGGGACTTGAAGAATCCCCGAGAAGATCCAGGAAATGGTCAACATTGAAGGGCAGATTAATGGTTATCAAAGTACAAATATCCAAAATCAGTTCAGTAACGGTTTTCAAGGGGACAATATTTACTCATTGATGGGTTTGGATAATGGGGGAAAATCGTGTCACAGGCTCTTTAAGTAAAAGAAGCAATATTGTAGTCCTTTATCTAAAATATCACAAAATGTGAATATTACAGTTTCAGTACTATACTATGTTACTACTTTTATCAAATAATGTATAAGAAGCATTTTAGTGTTGTAGTTGGTTAAGGTTTAGCTAATTTTATTTTGGGTGACATTTTGTTAAATCCTTGATAATAATTGATCAAATAAAGACATGGAATGGGAGAAATGGAAATACAAAAGGGCCTCAAAATTGACATTCCGTAAATATAAGTAGGTTAACAGACAAGAAATGTCCTATTTGGTGATTTAAAACTGCTCTTAAAATTGAGTTACCACCATGCTTTTCTACATATAATGATTTAATAATGTAAGAAACGGATTGGTTTTGCCATTATTATTATTATTATTGTTACTATTATTATTGTTATTGTTATTAATATTACAAAGCCAATGAAAACTTAACACACATAACTGAAGAAATATCTCTGACTTGATTTATGTCTAATCCTTGTTTTCTTGTTATCTTTCAGACCACATTAACAGAGGTGCAATTTGGACCAATGAAGTTATTTAAAGACCCACTTCAGGTATTGTAAAACAAAGCCAAACATCTGAATGATTGATGTTTATGTGTTGCAACGCATTACAGCTTTCCACGTAACAGCAGAAGTGCTCCAGGGAAATGTTTATGTTCATATCATTTAGGGGCTTTTAGCTGAGCCCTGGGGCTAAACATGGTGTGACTGTCAATATTTGGCAGTCACACCATGTAGCATTTTTCTCAGTATTAGCATTTCAAAAACGTCACCTTCTATTGTTTGCATTGAGAACTAATCTTGAATTTCTCAAAGGTACCACACCTCTTTGAGAGATTAAAGGGAAAAACCGTCCCCATGCAAACATTCAAAGAAGAGGAAGAAAGAAAAAAAACTGTTAATGGATCTATTGTGTGCAGGGCAGCCTTGGGTTGTCAAGGCAACTAGGCCAAACATTTATGACCAAGAACATACCATAATGAACAATGCACGTTATGGAAGGAGCGCACAGAGGATCCATGCACCAGTGTGGTCACTGCAAACAGGACATTCTCTGACGTTCAATGGGTCATTATACACTTTGGTACTGCACTCGTTTCTTTGGCAGGCGCTGCTGCTCATTGTTTGAAAACTTGGGAGAAAAAGTCAGACTTTTCAGAATTTGTAAGAAATTTGAGAGTAAACTTAATTTGGTTTCAAGGTTGCATTAAATAACTGAAAAGTTAACATACCATTTAGCTGGAAATACTAAACATTTGCTGCTTACAGCTGCCCAAATGGGAGGATTTTCTGTTTCTCTTTGTTTGGCTAAATTCATTTTCAGGTTTTATAGTGTGAGATAAAACAAAACATTTAAAGACGTCCCCTTATGCTCTGAGAGTTTCTGATGGGCATTTGTTCCTAACTTTTTTTACAGCCCACAGACAAAATAATAAATCATGAACATAATTGCAGCCCTGGTGTAAAGTAAAATATATATATAACCTTTATTTGAATACCACAGCTAAACTGAGTATATCAGTAATGAAAAGCAGTCAGCGGTAGTCAAAGAACAGCAATGCATTAGACGTCCTGCATTTATGCCACAAACTTATGTCTGATGCTCTCCAGTGTGACCACAGTAGGAAAACGAGGTAGAAAGATATCCCCTTCCTGTTTTTGTCACTCACAGCTGATCCTGTCATGCCCTTCTCCGCTCTACTCCTCCTCTTTTCTCGCGGCTCACAGGATCTGACCGGGCCCTCTCTGGTTTAACAATGATCTTTTCTAGGCAGAGAGTTCAAACCCTGCCAAAATGCTCGCAACTCCCTGCAAACTGTTTTTCCCTCTTTCTGTCTTTGTTTCTCTTCTAAGTTCTCTGCCTTTTCCATTTTTTCTTTGGACCATTAACAGTGTGTCCTCACTTAAAATGTACTTCGAGTTCTACTGGCCTGGGTGTGTTATTACGGAGTGAGGCCTATCCTTGTTGTCAGTGCAGATGGATCTGAAAAGACCTTATCTCAGCCTATATTACCCCATTCCTCCACCTCTGCGGGAATGTTGACTTTTCTACCAACATCCCAATGTGGAATTCTGATCTAATTCCCTGTGCGTACCGAACACAGCTGCAGGACTCAGTGGTGATGTATTTATGACCCGGACACTTTTTGCCGCTTGCAGGGAAACTGTTCGGAATATGGTTTGCATTAGCAAAACCCCTGACAGGCCTGGAGCCAAGTACTTAAATAAAGCTACAGCGATCATGAGAATGAATCAAAAGGACAACTGTCAGAACAAGCAATCCTCTATCCTCTCATTGTTTGGAGGACAGTAGCTCTAGTTTCTCCAACAAAGTCACGTCTTTGTGCCCTAACTCAATTAAACAGGTGTGATGCAAACTCCAAACCGCAGAACAAACTTTCCCTTCTTTACGTTCATCCTGCTCCCTGCCAACAGTTGGAGATGACGTCTGTTTGAGAGAGTGACTCATGAATCTGCTCTTAGTGCAGCACTGCTCCTGGAGGCGGGCCTAACTCTCTGGTCCAGTATTTACGCAAGCAAGAGGTTATATGAAAGTGTGCTGGCAGAGAGGGAGCGCGCTCCCAATGGCTGGCTTGACGGTAGCGGCAGCACTTTGTGCCACAGCCTTGGCAGGCCGGAGGCAGGGGCTGCGGCCGGTCAAGGCCACCTCAACTAATTGTGTCATAGATCACGGCAGTGGACAATAAAATCTGTGACGCACCCGAGTACGAGCTGAGCCTGATCAATCAGGGCCTGTCCGCGGCAGGCCTGAGGTCAGAGTCAAGCCCACAGTGCATAAGGACGACATGCGCAAATGAGCGTGAATGCACCAATGATGACATGACAACTCTGAGCTGCTGGCACTGAAGCATCAAATCCACATTTTCCTGTAGCGCTCCCTCCTCTTGTGTCTTTCTGAACACGCTGTGTAGCACAGGGTGGAGGCAGCTCATCTGTGATTATATCCAACTTTCTAATCAAATCACACCTACATATCAATTAGCTCTCTAATGTTTTACAACAAATGTTATGTCCATCTCCTCTCTAAATACTGTATCTCTAGTATTATTTGATTAAACCAAACAAATAATCTGTATGTGACACATTTAGCATTTCTACGGCATGTATAAACAGAACAATCAACTAGGAGTTGCTTTCTCTAGTCTAGGTGATAAGCATTTCTCTTTATTTTCTGTCATTTTATTTTCTTACTGATTAATTGTTGAATCATGAATACATGTGCAGATATTTTTGCTAAGCCATCTCTCTTTCTGCAGGTACTTTTAGTTTTTTCCAAAGAGGACAGTCAGAGTAATGGCTTCTGCTGGGCATGTGAGAAGGCCAACTTCAGGTGCAGCATGGCACGAACACCCGAGTCGGCTCTTGAATGTTTCTTGGAGAAGCATCATGACCTCGTCATCATTGACCACAGACATTCCAGACACTTTGATGCTGAAGCACTATGCCGGTAGGCCTCTTCACTTCTCTTCATTCTCTTCATTATTTGTAACGATTTCCTGTTGTATCTCTACAGGGATGCCGTGCAGTGTTCCCTCAAAGCTCTGTCAGATGAAATCAAGTTCCACTTTACCAACACATCACGTTCCAAATATGGGCATTTGAACTGATTTCAGACTTAATGCAATCTAAGGTTTTATTATTAAAGACGTGGTAAAATAATGTTTTCTTACATCTAAACTCTCCAGTCATTTTTTAGCTGTTAAGTTGATATTGTAAAGTTTTCAAGATTTTTACTCAGTTGTAATTTTTCATCAAAACAACAAATGAACAACATGTCAATCAATCAATCAATCAACCAATCAACCAATCAATCAATCAATAGATCAATGTTTATTTATATAGCCCAATATCACAAATGTTACATTTGTCTCAGTGGACTTCACAGTTTGTACAGAATATCAGTATGACAATATGACACCCTCTGTCCTTAGACCCTCACATCGTACAAGGAAAAACTTCCGGAGAAAAACCCACAGTTTAAAGGGAAAAATGGGAGAAACCTCAGGGAGAGCAACAGAGGAGGGATCCCTCTCCCAGGACGGACAGACGTGCAATAGATGCCGTGTGTAAATTGAAAAGATAATACATTTGCAACATAGGTAGTCCAAATGTTTGGAAATGCATGTGTGTATAATAGGAAGATGAATCCACGAGGGGATATCCATCCAGGACTTATGATCCAGGACCACAGCCACGACTCAAGATCCAGGGCTCGCGATCCAGGACACAGGACCACAGCAACAGGATCATCCATGACTCCGGATCCCGGCGTATATAGACACCAAAAAGAAAGAAATTTGGGGAAGCTGGGTTAATCGGAACATGAGAGTACACAGGTATAGACAGAGAGAAGGAAGAAGTAAGATGTCCCCCGACAAACTAAGCCTATATCAGCAAAACTAGGGGCTGAATCTAATCAGCCCTAACTATNTTTGTCTTTTTTTTGTTGTCTTTTCTTAATTCTCTGTCAAAGCGTCTTTGAGTTTCATGAAAAGCGCTATAAAAGTCCCATGTATATATATATATATATTTTTTATGTTAATGAAAAACATAATATAAACATAATTAATGCATTTACACAAACTACTAATAGTAGATTAACTACTTTATTCAAAAGTTTACAGTAATTCTGGATAATAAAATGGGAAAAGTAAATGGGGTGCTCTCTTTTCCTCTCCCTCTCCTTACAGCCCGTCAGTCTCGTGCGGCATTGAACCTGTCTAACCGGCCTAAGTGACCCGACTGTAAAGAACAAATATATTTATAACTAGTTTAGCTTGTTCCAGAGTAGATTTACTAGCTAAGTGTGTTAGGTCTAACTCTCAGTGTATTTTGGTCCGCTCAACGGTCCGTCACAGCGGCGGAGCTGTGATCATGCAGAGCTGCGTGTTCTCCGTCAGCAGCAGCTGATCTCTGATCTCTCTCTCGCGTCCAGTTAGACTTCACTCGCGTCTATGTCGAAATCTATCAGATCTAGCTAGTTCAAGTTAATTCTATGACTGCCTACTTTTCAAAGGACCTAAACAATAAGCGTGTGGTCGCAACGGCGTGTGGCCGCAAAGTTTAGCTCAGCATTATGCATATGTTTATATGAGGGGTCAAAATCCCATGCTCAGAAAATGCTCATATTTTTTTCTCTTCATTCCCCACGCCCCAAAATAAATAAATAAATATACAAATATACAAATTTTAGGAAAAGTGACGAAGTTTGAGCAGTGTGGGTTTTATATTAACAGAGTTACACATATTTCAAAACGCAAAGTGTAATAACTGCAGTTTGCCTTCCTGTCAGAATGACAAAGATCCTCAGTGAAGCACAATCCCGTGTTTCTCACTAAATTGTAAGTACAACTTATTAAAAAGATCAATTCAATGCAACTAATGTCGTCTTAGTGTTATTGCATGATGTTAGAATTGGTTTGCCATGAATTTAGTGTGTAGGGTTTGTGTGGAAGATTCATCGTTAACACGAACTGAGAGCGTTCAGATAGATAGGACCTAAACCAGCCTAAAGCAGTTCCCTGTATGCCAACTAAGTGCTCTAGTCTTTGCAATAAGATGTCATGGTCGATAGTATCAAATGCAGCACTGAGATCGAGCAAAACAAGAATAGAGACAAGTCCCTTGACTGAGGCTATTAGAATGTCATTTGTGACTTTAACCAGAGCTGTCTCTGTGCTATGATGTGTTCTAAAGCCAGACTGAAAATCTTCAAATAAATCATTGTTTCTTAAGTAATCACACAACTGTTTTGCGACCGCTTTCTCAATAATTTTTGAGAGGAACGGAAGATTAGAAATAGGTCTATAGTTGGCTAAAACCTCTGGATCGAGGTTGTGCTTTTTAAGAAGCGGTTTTATCACTGCTACTTTGAATGATTGTGGAACATAGCCTGATAATAAAGACATATTCATAATATTTAATAAAGAAGTGCTAATTAATGGAAAAACTTTAACAGCTTAGTTGGAATCGGGTCTAAGATACACGTTGATGGTTTAGAAGAGAGAATCATTGAATTTAATTGTTCAAGGTTTATGGCTGAAAAGCATTCTAGTTTACTATCTAGTGTAATATTAGAACTTACGTTTCCGGGAGCTGTTGATAACACTATACTGGTCAAAGGCAAGAGGTCATTAATTTTGTTTCTAAAAGTAACAATTTTATCGTTAAAAAAGCACATAAAATCATTACTACTGAGTGTTATGGGAATAGAAGGCTCAATCGAGCTGTGGCTCTCTGTCAGCCTGGCTACAGTGCTGAAAAGAAATCTTGCATTATTCTTATTCTCATCTATTAATGAAGAGTAGTAGTCAAGAATCTCTGGAAGTAGAACAATTATTAAAATATTAGTTAATAAAGCAAAAGTGCAAGGTTACTTCAACTTTAGAAACAACATTGTATTCATACTACCACTGGAAAGGTTCAAGCCGTACGTTCGTACTTCGTACCAATTTATACCTTTTAGTAAATTAATTAGTTTATCCCATTTGTAGCCAATGATTTAACATTGTTTTTCCTGTTTAGACTTCTCTGCTTGCTTGGTCAATAACTCTCAATCACAGCATATTGTGTTCAGGTGTTACATCTGACTCTATCCCTCTGGATGGGTAGGTGGATACAGTTACATTTATTTCAGCTATTTTAGTGGCTGTCATTAAGAGCCGAAAACATAATCCAGACCAGATGATGTTGAAAGGATAGTGCTTGTGTGTTACAGAGCATTTGGTAACACGTGCAGTCATGGCTCTGTGCGTGGGGTAAATGGACGGCTCACTTTGGGCTCCGTCGCTCCATCCCATGCTACCTAGCGGAGGCATGTTGATGAGAAATGAGCGGTGCATGCCCATACCACCCTCTATCTTTAGCCTCTGCCCAAACCAAAAACACATTTACAAACATTAATTTGCCCTGCTCAGCGTGTATGTTAACCCCATTCATTTTGGCCAATCCATATGTTCAGTGTACACGCACAGGCTCCGATGGGGAACTAAAGGGCCTTTATGACCGCTGGCTGGGGGAAACCACAGGCGGATGAGTGGCCCTGTACACTGCATTCTTTCAGAGGCCTCGGCCTGCACACCGAGCTCCACCACTGAGCTCGGCCTGCCTGAGAGAATCGGAGCGTGAAAAACTGAAAAATACATTGATTTGATGCCATGGGCTTTTCCACCAGCGTGCTCTCTGGCTAAAAGGCTCTCTCTGTTTACATTCAGGTCAATTAGAGCGGTCAACTCTTCAGAAAACACTGTGATAGTCGCTGTTGTGAAAAGGTATGTCAACTTGCTGGCCCTACTCCCAGCTACTACCTTTTACTTTTCTCTAACTGTCTTTTTAAGTTGTTAATGATTAGGAGTTTTGTCAGAATAAAATATCATTATAGAGCAGATCATGTTTTTATTTGGGTGCTAACACGTTTTCTATTTTGAAGGCCAGACAGAGAGGAAGCCTCTGTGATGCCCCTGATCAACGCCGGCTTTAATAGGGTGAGCGAGATTCCATCCATAATCGTGTGTGTGTGTCTTCTGCTGCCTGTGTTTGTATTATTCTTTCAATATGCTTTTTTATATCCCTACTGTCAACACTGTAAGGCAGGAACACGGATTGTAAATCATCTTTGTTTGCTCAGGAGACATGTGCTTTGAGTTCCTTGTACTTGAATCATTGTAACTCATGGCATCAGCAGCACTATAACAACCCTTTAATGGATACGTTTATATGAAAATGGGATTTTAGTGTTCTTTGATTGATCCCTGCTGTCCCTCTGACTTTTAGAGATATGTGGAGAATGCCAATATGATGGCCTGCTATAACGAGCTGCTACAGTTGGAGCATGGAGAGGTGCGGGCGCAGTTCAAACTGAGGTGAGTCCTGTACTTTGTCCTGTACCGAGTTGTGGTAGCATCTACATTTTGTACTATAATTCAAAGCTGTTGCACTGAGAGCAAGACATTAGAAACATACTGTAAGCTGTTGAGGTGATAGCCAGTAGATCCACAGACAACAAATATTATTATTGGTATGCATTTATTATTATAAATATTGCTTGTTTTTATTATTTTACATAATTTGATAAACTGTTTTATTTTATGTTTAGTTTTTAATTAATTGAATGTCGTTAGTCTTGTTCTAGGTTCCACTTTCAAATATTTTTCCGTCTGGGTTTTGTACTTTTCTTTTTTACCTACTGTTTTATCACTTTTATTTCAGTCAACCGTTATTGCGTTATCCATCTGTTTTATTCTATTTATTAAAATATTTTTAAAAACTGTGTGGACAAAGAGAAAAAAAAGATGGTTTGTTCTTTAACAATTGTCCTTTTTTATGCGATTTGAATGCTTTTTTTTATGTTTATATGTATAAAAATAGTTGCTGGACCCTCTGCTTGTTGCATTTGTTAACGCAACTTCTCTGTTGTCTCTCTACTTGTATTGCAGGGCTGGAAATGCTATTTTCACAGCTCTAGAACAAAGCCAAGAGGCCATAGAGATCACTTCTGAAGATCAAGTAATTCAGGTGGGTTTTATATCCTTAAGACTTGTAGTTGCTTTATTGTGATGTACAGCAAGTCCTTCTCTTTCTTCTTCCCCTTCTTCTCTTTCTCTCTCCCCTTCTCTGCTGCTTTAGAGCCTGTTCATGTCTTGTGATCCCGGAGCTCAGTTCGATAGATGCAGTTTCTGTCCTTCTGAATGGCTCCTTTTGTTGCCATCAACACACTTTATCCTGTTATCACGTTATGTTTTCACATGACATATACTATATATGTTTCTGAGCTTTGTGAACTAATCAAAGAATGTGTCGCCTTCTCTTATGATTGGCAAGGTTCATATGTCGTCAACTGGACTGAGTGTAAAGTAATTGTAGATGTAATAAACAGTCATCTCCGATCTGGCTTCAACGCTCTTGTTTCCTCTCCTTTGCAGTACGTGAACCCGGCCTATGAGTCGATTATGGGTTACCAACGAGGCGAGCTAATAGGGAAGGAAATAATAGAAGTGCCTAAAAGTGAGAAGAATAAGCCTGATCTCCTTGAAACAATAAATTCCTGCATACGGAAAGGAAAGGTAATATGCATTCATTAAATCATCTATTTTATACATTTCAGTTCAAATGAATCAGATACCGTATCTCAGGGTAAAATAATCACATCTATGTGATAGCTGATACTCTTACAAACACAGTTTTCACATGAAGACTATCGTCTCACAATCAGATCACAGATCACACTGCAGATATTTGCTCCTGCCTTTGTGTCTGTGCATGCATGCGAGCACGTGCATCCATGTGTGCTGTGAGTCCGCACCACTGGCCATCCAGCAGCTCTGTTTCATGTGCATAAGAACAGCGGCTGATGGCTGTGCTGTAATCTTACTACACAGAGAGCGAAGGTCAGTCTCAGACAGGCTAACAGCAGGAAGAGTCTTTTTAAGCTGCCACAGCCGTCTGTAGGTGGGGGGACATGAAACGAGCGCACTGGACTCCAGGAGTGCCCACCCGCCCAATCCATTAAAGCAACTTGCTGCTCTGTGAAATACTCTGAGCTATCCCGCTTTACCACCTTACATGCACCACAAAAACTGCTACACCCAGTCGTCAACCATCTTTTGGACATTTTCAAACTACTGAATAAAAAAACTGTAGCCGTCATTGTTATAATGGATTATTACTCTGCTGTATATTTTCTGTGTCTATGTTTCATCTCTCTCTTTTGGTTTTACCTCGTTCCAGGAGTGGCAGGGGATTTATTATGCCAAAAAGAAGAACGGAGACAGCATTCAGCAAAATGTGAAGATCACACCTGTAATTGGACAGGGAGGGTGAGTGTCCGTATGTCAAGGCTCTTTCAGTCTCGCTAAATATAAATCACCTTTTCTGTAACTGAATAATTACACTGGACGAATATGACTGTCTCCTGGTGTACTAATTAACTTTTGTCATTAACAGAAAAATCAGACACTATGTGTCTATCAACTGGCCTTTACATGATAATAATAAGGTGAGTTTCCAGTTTTGCTGATAAATAATGAATGAAATTATTTATTTTCTTGCCTACATGTAACAATTTGCTTTTTATTCGGTCCATGCAGAGCGATAAATCCACTGAACGTGTGCAGGCAGAGTCTCAGACAGGTAAGATCCATACTCGACACTGTATTAGGGTAACATTACATGTTGCTTACATATTTCAGATTTAGTATTTCAGGTTTTCTCTGCTGTATAGTTATCAGCGTTAGTGATGGAAAATCTTTCCATGACGATGTCACTTGTGATCGGTCACAAGGTTTGAGGATGTGAGGGCCAACAGTGTGTTTGTCATTAGGAATCACAACATTAGTTCCAGTTCTACAGATGATACACTCGTTTTTACTGTTTTCAAACACCAAATATCTGTTAAATCTTAGCAACAATACATTGAGGACACATCTGGGAACCTGAGCTTTTTAAACTAAAAAACTTTGGACATTTGTCAGAAAATGGAATGCACCATGCCAGAAAATCATTATTCTCTTTAATCATAACACACATGTCAAACGGCAGTCTTGCTTTATGTAGATGAGAAACACCTTCAAATAAATAAAATCTTTGTTATGTTGATCTTGAAAAAGTGATGCAGCTTTTTATTCCCTTTTTAATCTGGGCTATTGTTCCTTGCCGTATTGTGGTATTAACCATGAAACCTACTCACAGCTGCAACTGATTACAAAATGCAGCAGCTCTTCTCCCGACAGGCCAACAGCACAGGGATCAGATCTCTCCTGTGTTGGCGTCTATTCAGCAGCTCACTGAAAAGAAGTGATTTTTAAATTATGATTTGTTTGTGAAGCTGTGCATGTTCTTACAGCACAGTCTATGTCACATTAACACCCCTATGAACCCTAGGCCTTCTGATAAAGTATCTAACGTTTGTCTCTTTTCAAAGAGACTCGTTTTTTACATTTATTTTGTTATTCTTTCCCTTTATTTAATCTAAAGTGAATTGTGAATTTGAAGTACAAAATATGTCCACTGCATAACTGTCGGCTTACGTAGACAAAGAAAGCTTTGTGAGAAACCTTTTCTAAACACTACATTGCCCAGTTGTTTTTTGAAAATGACTGAGCCCTTTTAAAAAAATTAACTTCATGCTTTTTTTTTTCATTGACGCAAGTCAATGAGAACTAATGTCAAGCCTATTAGATCTTATTAAATAAGTACATCTTTAAGTGTGCTATATGGTCAGACAGTTTTGAGTTTTTTCTGAATAGGAAACATAAGATAACAGAAGCCTTATCTTAAAAATTCCTAGGAAAAATCTGATAATATAAACGACATAAAATACGTACTTCTTTCTTTATATGGATTTTACTTTGTTCCACACTTTGTGCAGTATTTGACATAACATTTATTAATTGAATTTAACTTTATTACATTTTATACCCACAGTGTGGATGATAAAAGACAGGCTGCTGTATTCAGGCTGGACTGATTCAGAGTCTGTCTCCTCTCCTTAAAGGATATTGGGCCAAAGTCAGCCTTTTCACAGAACTGGAAATGTTTGTGTGTGCATGTTAATGTAACGTTTTTTCTTCTCCCCAGACATCCAATCTAGTAAGCACAAAGACCGGAGGAAAGGCTCTTTGGACGTCAGGTCCACAACTTCTCGGGGGAGCGATGGTGAGAGTGAAGGGAGATATATGATGAAAACTCTTGTCATTACTTGCCAGCTTATGGGACCTTCCTTGTTGTTTGTTTGCTTCAAGTGTTGATTGAGCCTACACACAAACACAATCTTTAGATGGAAAACTGCCGCCTAATTATAATTTGGGGATGTATTTTTTTCATTCTGTCAGGGAGCTCGCAGCGAAGGCACTCCTCAATGGCCCGAATCCACTCCATGACTATAGAGGCTCCCATCACCAAGGTGGGTTCATTCCCCCCCCCTATCATCCCTCCCAGCCTGCGTCTCATGATTATCACTTTGTACTGATGTTTTTTATCTCATGACTGAACTCTTGGGTTATTAATCTGCCAAAACCGCCATGAGCACTTCTTGTACAGCTACTAGCATCGAGGCTAGAGGCGCCTCATACCACGTCAAGAGGCGATGGGTGGATAAAATGCCACATTTCATGCACAAGGCATTCAAGCATGTCAAACCAGAATGACCTGCTGTTGCTGTGGTTTATGAAGTCTGCAGCCTGGATAGTCAAAAACAGAGAAAATCCCCAGGGATGGTCATATGACACACTGCAGCTCCAGTGCTCTGTCATTTGACTGTGTAGTCAGTCCCTGAAGGCGCTATCCTCTACAGATTAAAGCACTGATAGTGAAATAAGTGAAAGTGCGTGGGTGTTTGTATGTGTGTGTAATTTGAGCTAGCTATAACTTGTTTTCTAGGATAAAGCAAATGTTTAAATTAGTTTTTGGAAGTTTTCTACCTGTCAAATATATTTTGTACAGAGACAACTGTTTTTCCCCTGTTTTCAAGATGTTATGTTAATCTACGCTAACTGTATCCCTTCTGTAGCTGCATAGTTAACAGCAGATACGAGTAGTATAGTTAGTTTACATCTTACTGGTTAACTTCAGGGTTTCCTACAGGGAACAGAGACATTTTCAGTCATTGAAGATTTTGTAATGATCAAAATAACAGGAAATTCTATTTATTTGAATTGTACGATAATTTTTTCAGAATTTTTGATTTTTTTTTACATTATCAGAACTTCATTTGCTTATTTTATCCTAGTCCTACGCATGTATTTTTATAAATAGTACACAATATCAGTTTGTTGTTGCTTTTTACATAAAGGGCTTTACAAATAAAAATACTTGTTTCGTCTTCCAGGTAATCAACATCATCAATGCAGCGCAGGAGAGCAGTCCAATGCCCGTGGCAGAGGCCTTGGATCGGGTACTGGAGATCCTGAGGACGACTGAGCTCTACTCCCCGCAGTTTGGCACCAATGATGAGGACCCCCATACGAATGACCTCGTGGGGGGGCTGATGACGGTAAGCAGCAGATCCTGTGGAGAACAAGGGTCCTTCAAGAGGTCTGAAACACCCAAACAGCTTCCTTCCGCTAAGAATGAATCGACTCCCATATGATAACGCACGTCAGAGGCAGAATTCCTCAGTGATAACACGCAAGGTCCAATCACCATGAAAGCCTATGATAGCGCGTTCAATTAAAGAAACAGAGCCAGGAGTGGTTATGTGTGAGGATCTCTTTCCATATTTTGGGGAGGGAGAGAGATTAACAGACAGCAATGGTGAAGTACAGAAGTAGAAAGAGTGCCAAGTTGGCAGTCTTGGCAACAACCCCAGAGGAAGTGTTAGATTGTCCTTTGTGCTCCTGTAGGCTGGAGAGGAAAGCCCAACCCGTCCACCACCACCCCCCCCCCTCCCTCTCTCTGCACACAGTCACACTCACATGAACCTCTTCCTCTCAACGCCGCAGGCCTAGAAACATCCTGTTCTTTGGATCAGATGAATAAGCATGGCTTTACTTATACATGTACACTCTGGACTCACAGAGGCAGAGAGCTGTTACACACAGTCCTTCCCCAGAAATAGTTGTTCTGTATAAGTGATAAAGACTGATGAAACCAGAAAACAGTGAGGCATGAGTTCAGGTTTAGATCGTTATTTATGTACGATCATGTTGGTTTATGAGGTGTCTGGCTGCATATGTAGTTAGATTAATTTATTGTTGTGCGCTGGCTCTGACCTCATAAGACGCAGCGAACATTAAGAGAAGAGCTGTCATCTTTCTGGGCAGAAAAGTCTTTAAATAACCAGTGTGTACAGAAGCACCGCCCCCATGAGACAATGCTCGGGTCAAAGATGAGCCACTCTCCTCTTCCTTTTTCACTTGTGAAGTAAACATTTAACTCTGCAACACATACCCATTTACTAGCACACGCCCATTGTATACTCTAAATATATTACATTACTGTTTTCACAAAGCTGACAAGTATCAACAATAACATTAGAGAGAAATTGAGGCTTTAATGTTCCTAATGTCTTATTTTAATGTTTTTTAAGCGTTTTAACATTTGATAACCTAAAGGCATAGTTTCATTACCACATAAAACAGATTTAGTTCAGCGTCTTGTAAGTTATTCTTTGAGAGACACATTTAAACAATATTAATTTTTTTGATAAACTATAATGGATGCAGAACTACTGCAGTGGTTGTTGTTCACATTAAACAAGACTAAGGGTATACTCCAATACCCAAACTTCTGTACTATTTAGTATGCCAGAGTCAACTTGCAAGCCAGCAGGCTTTACTAACCCATAATCCTAAGCGCAGTATATACTGTATATGAGCAAGAGGGTCAAAGTTCAAGTTTCAATGAAAATGACAAAGCAGAATTTAGCAATTTTATGCAAATTTCAAGCAAGGGCATCTTACAAAGTATGTAGTGCAGTATGTACTAAAAGTAAAAAGTATGTGACTTGCTGAAGTTTAGCAGGTATATAGTTTGAAATGTTCACCATCTTAGTTTAGCATGCTTAGCATTCAGCTAACATGAGCCATTGAGCACTGAACACAAAGTATGGCTGATGGCAAAGTTGTTTCAGTTCACACAGCGAGAACTTTAATGTTTGTACCAGATGTCACACAAAACCTCAAATGTCAAGCTCATGGGGGCGCTAAGGGACAAATCAGGTGGTAATTAATATTCATCTTCTGGGGACCATGAATGTTTTTTTAATTAACCGACTGATATTATTTGAAGTAGAGCCACTTGTTTGATCTTTATTTACAGTTTCTTATTACCCTGTTTTTTTCCCAAAGCTGTTAGAAATCACAGTCCTAACAGGGCCGGATCATTTCACCACTAACCTCTGAAAAGCATGTGTTTGATTATTAAAGTGATGATGTGTTGCACCCCTGATGAGCACCATTTGCTGTCACAGCATGCTGCAGTGCCCAGAGGAAGACAAATAATAATGGAATATTTTCCGGCAGATTATCTGACATGTACATAAATTAACACGGTGTCATTTCTGACACAACTATTACATTTCACCAATATGGAAATCATTTCTTAAACCGCACATTGGCTTTATTATTAGGCTCTGCTTGGCTGCCTCATCCTTCGCTCACTCTGCGTGCTAGTGGGGGAACTATATGAGGTGTCAACATATGACGACCTCCAAAACATTGTGTCATGGCACAGATGAAAGATCACTCATAAAAGTGTTAATATGGAAAATCTGTGTCTTTGTTTCCTATTATGTATCATACTGTTGTAATTCGTTACGCTCTCGCCTCAGTCAAAGTGCATTTCCTCCTGCAACTTGGTCGAAATACACAAGACAAATAGTCACGTTTAAAAACGATAAACACAGATGTTAATTGTTGTCACTGCTGTGAATATAATTAAAACATGAATGGTTCTAGTCATGGATGTAAGACGAACAATATCTTTAGTTAAATGTAAACCTTTATCTATCCACATATTTATTTGTTTTTCTACGTATCCTTCTTTCTGTATCTTTGTATGCACCACATATACCAAAGCAAATTCCTCGTATGTGTAAACCAACTAATAAAACTGATTCTGGTACTGATTCTGATATTGATGGAGCTCCGAGGTGTGAAAGTGAAGTGATGTGATTTCGTATCTATCGTTAGATACAAATTATTGTGGCTTAATCTGGGCATCAAACCACTTTTCAATGTTGGTCAATGAACAGAGGTGGAAGGAGAACTCGGTACTTGAGTACAATAATACAATTATTAGCTGCAATATACTTAAGTATCAAAAATAAAAGTGACTGAATTGTCTTTACTTTGAAGTCCAAGCTGATGTCATTCTCAGTGTTGGTATTTCTAGCAGCTTCATTTAGCACAAAATACATTCATATCAGTTCTGATGTCAGATTACATGTCTCAAAGCCCCCAAACACTTTAACTGTCCATATATTTTATTCTGAAGGCAGTTTTGACAGCTTTGACACTGGTGCTCCTAACACTGAGCTGAACTCTTCATGTGTCTGTTCAGAAAGCATGAATGATGCTGTCAGTTTGTGCTCCCTCACTCCCTGACACTTTCTTTCTTCTCTGTTCACAGGATGGCCTACGCAGATTGTCAGGAAATGAATACATCTTGGCCTCGAAACGTAAGTGTACTTACATTAAGGATATGAACTGCTATGCTACATTTTAGAGTCACATTGATTTTCTACAAATGTATTCATCTTAATGTATTCTCTTGCGTCTTCCTTGCTCACAGAGCCCCACCATATGCCCAGTCACCTGACAACCCCTCTGACTTTAAATGACATCCCCCCTCGTATCGCCCAGACCATGGAGAACGAGGAATCTTGGGACTTCGACATTGTGAACTTGGAAGCTGCAACTATGAAACGGTGAGGCAATAACACAGTTAGGGTCTACCAAAGGAACAATGCCTTATGTTTGACAGCTTGGGATGAGAGTTGATATTTAACTAATATGCTGAATCCTCCCGCAGGCCTTTGACTTACTTGGGCATGAAGATCTTCTCCAGATTTGGGGTCTGCGAGTACCTTAACTGCCCTGAGGCCACTTTGCGCTCCTGGCTTCAAGTAATTGAAGCTAACTACCACTCCAGTAACTCCTACCACAACTCTTCTCATGCAGCTGATGTCCTGCACGCAACAGCGTATTTCCTCTCCAAGGAGAGGGTCAAGGTAATTTGCAAAAAATAAATAAATCTCTATTATTTTAAAACAATATATGCCAAATTTGTTAAATATAACATGTTATCTGAATGTTGCTGCTGGTCAAAAGCTTAGCCTATAGACATATAAATATATAAGATGTATATATATATATTTCATCTTCAAGAAAAAATAGGTGACATAACTGGTTTTGAAAGAGAAGATGTGTATATAAAATGATGTTGCTGAAAGTCAGCAACTTGAGTGAAATATTAGCATACTTTTGTTTACAAATGTCCACCACGGCTCTGGTCGTGAGCCTAAACTCCTACAGTATGTAAATGTGGGGATTTTCTACTACAGTCCCGTCTGAGACTGTTATCAGAGAGTCGTGGTCCGGCCCAAGTGTGTCAGTGGCTCAGTAACTGCTGGAGGCCGGGCTCTGGCTAAAGCTGATTACCAATCTGTCTATTTCTGATGTCAGTGGAGGGATCTTTCATTGGCTTAGCTAAGTTACATCACCAACGGTTAACAAATACCTGGAAATCAGGTTAGCAGGTTAGCAGGTCTGTTGTGTTGAAAATGATTTTAGAAATTATTAATTATTTTGAAAGTCTTTATAGTGGTTTTTTCATTCAGTGTTTATTTATTTTCAAAATGTTACATCACACAGAACAGATATATATTTCTATGTTTTCATATATTTTTTTACAATTTCTGTCATGACAACTTCAGAAGTAGGTTCAAAAATAGTTTTTTTAAATCTACAACATTGATCACACATTCAACTAACTGAAAGATTAATATGTTAAGTATCATGGAAATCTTAAGATCCATATTCAATGCAACTACAAAAAGAAAGAAAAAAGGAGCTTTTAATTGCATTATCCTAATAATGATTATCATGAATAATGAATAAACACAACCGGTCCCCACTATGCAAAGCTACTTCTGGGTTCAACCTGCAGGTTATACTTGAAACAAGTCACAGCTGTATTAATATCGGGATGTGACATGTCTAGTTAATGTCTTTGAAGGTTATGGCTAGCTTTTGGCCTAGTTTATCACTCAAAACAATGCACCAAAGTATCATCATACCAGAGTTTTCCTTTAAATGCCTAACAACTTGTTCAATCTGCCCCAACAGCAAAGTTTGGATCCCATTGACGAGGTGGCCGCCCTCATTGCTGCGACTGTTCACGACGTGGACCACCCAGGCCGCACCAACAGCTTCCTGTGTAATGCAGGAAGTGAACTGGCCATCCTCTACAACGACACCGCTGTGCTAGAGAGCCACCATGCAGCACTGGCCTTCCAGATCACTACAAGAGATGATAAGTGCAACATCTTCAAAAACATTGAAAGGTAGGAGAGTCATTACACAAGAAAATACTGTAAGTCACCCACAAAAATAATCATCCAGTTCATGCCTCTGATGTTCTTGATCATCAGACACAAAACATTAGCATTATGAAACTAGATATTCCCCTTATTGTGTGGACGGGCTGCAGGTCTACAAAAAGTTTGACCTCAGTGTTACCGAAATTGCTTAACTAAATGTTTTTGTGACATAAGGTTGAAAAGATAACCTCTGTATTAAGATGAATTATTTATTTATTTTATTCTAAACTATATGCAAATGTGCTGACTTTTATGAATATGTGCAATAATGTGGTGGCACTCGGAACCCAGTAGTTTTTGCAAAACTTTATTAGATAAACAGACGTTTTGTAATATACAGAATAATCTAATAAATATATATAATATTTGTAAGCATCAACACAGTCTACATAATTATATTATACAGTATACTACTAGATAACATGTTATTTATTGAGTTCCCTATATAAAATAGTTTGTGATACAGACATTACCTGAAGTATCATGAGTGGATAAACTAAGTCTGCATTTGTGCGGATAAAAGCGTGTGTGTGTGTGTGTGTGTGTGTGTGTGTGTGTGTGTGTGTGTGTGTGTGTGTGTGTGTGTGTGTGTGTGTGTGTGTGTGTGTGTGTGTGTGTGTGTGTGGAGAGACAGTGGCAGGGTAGTAATGTGATTTGAGTCCCAAAGCAGAAAAGCTCACATGTGCTGGTCCCCTCAGAGGGGGAAGGTGAACAAAGCATCCATTCATCGCCACTGTCACTGCAGTCAGAAGGGGAAAACTGTTCACACGGGTTTCCATGCTGTTTACCACACTGTCATCTCACTCTCTCTTTTTTTTCTTCCACCACCTCCCTGCCTTCCCTCCTTCATCTGTCCATCCCTCTCTCTTTTCTGTCTCTGTCTTTCTTCCTCTCTAGGAATGAATATCGAACGCTACGACAGGCCATCATTGATATGGTGCTCGCAACTGAGATGACCAAACACTTTGAACATGTCAACAAATTTGTCAACAGCATCAACAAGCCACTGGCTGCTCTGGAGGAAAATGGGGTGAGATTAGAAATGATAAAACACAGCAAAAAAGGTTTTTATAGTTACTAACTGTGACAAAATAGTAGTTCAAATAACAAATTCCTTTTTCCTCAATAGTTCAGAACAGGAAGGACACACTAGATAAACGCATCTATTGTAATCCAATTCTGTCGAACAGTATGCAAGCAACAAATGTTTTAAGAGCTTGAGAGATGACGATAGTGGTTCAGGGGACTTGTGGCCTGTTGTTGCCCGGGCACAGATATCTTTGTGGGGAGAGAATTTTACAACTTGGTTCCATCTTTCTCGTCTGTGTGTGGAATGCTCAACACAGACATTTAAAAGTTGCCCCTTAAAGGCAGGAATGATCTGGATGAATGATTTAATTCTGAGAAAATACTGTGTAAAACCACTTCAAGAAAATCGAAGTATTTGATAGGATTTGTAATGGACTGTAGTTTAGTTGCAAATCAAAAAGGAGCTCTTTGGCCTTTTTGTCACATATACTTTCATTCAGCCTCGAGCCTTAAAGGTGGGGTAGGTAATTTTGGTGAAACCAGCTCGAGTGCGCTAGAATTTGAAAATACACAGCCGGAAGAAATCTGCCACTTCCTTCAGACTTCCAACACACACGAACGTGCACATGACCAATGAGGGCACGAGATAAGTTTGTGCACAGATGGAAGGCTGACAGGCAGGTAGGCCATCCAGTTATTTTAGCCGGGCCGGCTAAAATGATTGGTCGTGCTTTTTAGAGTACTACGGCTTCCACAGATGATGGGATTTATGGATTTTTGTCAAAGCACTTAAGATATTCATTGCTATCGGGATGTTAAGAGCATTCCATGGAATATAACAAAAAGTGTATCTCGAGCCGGTTTCTCAAATTTACCTACCCCACCTTTAAGTAAAACAGAGACCTCACACATCTCGGCTAATCCAAATAGACGTTCTGTACTTCTACTAAACAAAATTGTCAGTTCATCCAATCTTGAAAGATACAGTAAGCTGAAAATCATTTGACTGCCCGACTTATGCTGTACTCTTTTACATGCAAGTGTTGCTGAAGTTCATAAGAAACGAACGCTGCTTCTTAAAAAAAATCCTCTCCCATGAATCAAAAAGCCTGCTGTCAGTGCCATATTTTATTTTCCCAGAATTTGTTTGTGTACAAACACATTCATTATTTTTAAAGTTGTCAAGCTGTTCTTGGTGCTATAGCTGTCTATTGCTGATAATAATAAGAACTTCAGTTGTCCTTGTGCTAATGGTCTGCTTCTGGCTTTCCTTTTAGGGAAGCAGCGATGAGGACTCCGCCAAAAGCATTCTGACGTCCCCCGAGAATCGCATCCTTGTCAAGCGGATGCTCATTAAGTGTGCGGACATCTCCAATCCATGCAGGCCTCAGGAGCTCTGTATAGAATGGGCCGGGCGCATCTCAGAGGAGTATTTTGCACAGGTAATTAGACAAAAGATACAACTTTGATGGTGTTGTGAGATGGATTTTTTTTATTTTATGATAATCATTTGTGCTGTTGTCTCTGGTGCAGACGGACGAGGAGAAGAGACAAGGTCTACCAGTGGTTATGCCTGTGTTTGACAGAAACACGTGTAGCATCCCAAAGTCTCAGATTTCCTTTATAGACTACTTCATTACGGACATGTTTGACGCATGGGATGGTAAGGATGCACTGCACGTTAACACTAAAAATACATACACTGCTTTACATCTTCATTGTTATGTAATAAATCTATTTTTCTATCTGGATTTCTTATTGAGATCCAGTTTTAGGAAGATGTACAATACAAGCATAGTAAACAAAATTCAAGCTCACAAATAGCTCAGACAGTGGACAGTGCATTCCCTATGAAGGAAGACAATTGTAAGTGGCATGAGTCAAATATTAAGAAACCTTCTAAAGAAATTAGGTAATCCCCTACTGAGTATTTTAGTTTAATAGAGCTGTCAAATTAGCAAATAAAGTATCATGTTCTTTTAAAAAGTACTTTGATACCTACATTTGTACTAAATCTAAACACTGTGTTTTACTACAACATTAGACCAGGATCAGTGGAGAAACCTACTTCATCAAGTAGATCAGGAAACCTTTGTCAATGTCATTATTAAATAAATAAAAAAGTAATTTTATTGAAAAAATGATTATTGAAAAAGAGAGTACCAGATTAATCTTTATTGGTAGATATCCTGAATTAAGATATAAGAGAGTAAAAGTTAAGTTTGTGCATTCATACACAGTCATCCAAATGTATGAATAGGAAGGTGGTATTGACTTAAAAAAACAAACTACCAAAGTTGACTCTTGTGTTCACCTTCTATCATTGTGTTTCCAGCTTTTGCAGACCTTCCCAACCTTATGCAGCACTTGGACAACAACTTCAAGTACTGGAAAGGCCTTGATGAGAGGAAGCTGCACAGCCTGCGACCGCCTCCAGAGTAGGCGCTGCAGTGTTGGGTCCTGGGACTCTGCGGTCCGGGGCAGCCCTCCTCTCTCCTGCCAGGGCGTCTCTCTCCCTGCCAGCCCAGCCAGCCACTGGGCCTCCTTGCCTTCACTCTTCTGCTTCTGTAGCATGCTGAGCGTCCACAAGTCCGTCCATACAGAAACCACAGAAGGACTTCCTGGCAGGCAGTTGCAGCTGGCTTGTCAGATGAGAACTGTGACAAACAGACACGGACACACAGCATCCTTATGAACTCCTCGTGCCTCTCAGGCATCCGCAGTGTAGCTGGCCAAGTGACACGACTGAGAGATGGTCCTAACAGGCCTCCTGGCAAAGCCTCCATCCCTTATTTACTACATGAGCACTCCTGTCTGCCTGTGAAGTTGCTGTTTGAGTAAAAACTGCTTGTTAGCTGAAGGAGCTAGCAACACTAGAGGAGTGGGTGAAATGTGGCCTGGATATGAAGGTGACCAATCCACATCAGGCCATATCATAATTACCTTTGACCTCCATCCCTGTGCTCGAATCAAGGCAGGACTGCTCCTTCTGCCCCCAGAGGCCACACCATGAAAGAACACTCCACTGCTTTTTTTTTTTTTTGCAACACTTTCATGTGTCCTTCAGAAACACATCCAAGTGGACACATAGCTGTCATAACAGACATGTGGGAGGGGATGCTTTCTCTTTGGGTCAGGGAGTGGATCTTTACTTTAGGCCACTGCTGAGAGACAAACACCTCAACATCATGATCATAGGTAACTAATTACCCATGATTTGGTATGTTAATTTTCTTAGTTTTTCCTTATTTTATATAATAAAAACATTCATAAATGAATGAGTTGATAAGTAAGAACAAATAGAAATTTCAAAAAGAGAGAGAAAAGCCAAAGCTGATGAAAACAAATAATATAGCTAATTATTACTCATACAAAGCATTACCATAATAAACATGTTTATTTTCTTATCAAAAGTACAGTACCAGTTTGAATGAACACTTTTGTATTGCACTGTAAACAATATTAGAAATGTCTACGTCTCAGTGATTTGTCCAGGGATGGGATGGTGTGTGTGTGTGTGTGTGTGTGTGTGTGGCGCAACAATCCCTTGCTCTTGGTTTAATGCTGTACACCGCTTGACATTTGACAACAGCAGAAATATGTGAAAACATTTTGGACTTGAACATTTTTTCTCCCAGAGATTTTTGTATCTGGTTTATCCTACTGAAAAGACTGCCTTATTTTATACAATATTTATACAGTACATCCCACTGTGCAACTGCAACGGACATCTGGAGTTTTTATTATAACATAGTCAAAAGGTTATGTTCAAGTAAATCTCAATATTTTTATAGACAATGAATTTTACACTGGATTTGCAGCAAATGAGATCAACCATTCTAGCTATCTGAATACCTGTGAAGTGGATGGTCACACAGAGCGTGTATGCAGAGATCTAAATGGTTAGGAAGGATGTGGATCGCAGAGTTGTCTATCACTGTTTTTGAAGCAGTCTCCTAGAGGCCTGCTTGCATTGATTTTTTTTATCAAGCATCATTATATTTTGGCCACTTGTCCAACATCCTTATGCACAGACCCAGGGAACAGCTTTCTGTTCAAGGCTGGTTTCAGATTAGGATACTAATATATGTAAAAGATTGTTGCTTATTAAAAAAATCCTCTTTAAACAGTATATTGATACCATAACAGCCAAGCAAATTATGGTTAATAGGAAGTTATTGACCATGGTTATGTTTGTGTCTCTCTTATGACAGAATTGTACTCTCAATCAGGGGATTTGTTTGTTCCTTCTGATTCAAATGTTGGTCTGAAGGCACGGAAAAAAATAGAAACTATTCAATGAAAAATAAAATAATGTCAATTATAAGTTTGCAGTCTTTTTCCTGCAGTGACCCAACTTCTGTCCTCCTACTTATTTTATATTTTTCTGTTTATGTTTGCGTTTTTTCATTAGCCTACAAAAGCCTTATACATATATTTTGTATTTGCTCAAATTTTTCTAGTTATTTAACTATGTTCACTCACTTTACTTCCTGAAGGTTCCTTGTTTTACTTTTACATTTTGTAAAATATGAAATAACTATAGGGCACATATGTATCAATAATTAAAGGATTTCCATTTTTTTCAACGAGGGATTCCTTTTAGTGGGTATGAAAGATGAAAAAAAATTAATTATGTAGGATTCTCTGAGATAGCACAATTAATACATTGGAATATTTTTATTTTCCGTATTCAAAAAATATGTTTTCTACTGCAAAGCACAGAAGACTGCTTATTGTTTTAAATGGATCAAGGGTACGTTTAACTTCCTATAACATTTCTTTTTATAAAAATAAAACAACCCAACCTGATAACATTTGGGAAATTAATTCCTGGGAAACAAGTCAATAATTCACACTCCTCTGTGAAGAGTACAGTTTTCTGGTGGAGCTGTTTGGAACAGGAATATCCTGCTTGAATTAATTTATTGTATGGTATTCAGTTGAAATGGGAAAGAGTACCACTAAGTGGAAGTGTTATGCAAACCTATCATTAACACAGTATGTAAATCATCAATCAATCAATCAATGTTTATTTATATAGCCCAATATCACAAATGTTACATTTGTCTCAGTGGACTTCAGTTTGTACAGAATATCAGTATGACAATACGACACCCTCTGTCCTTAGACCCTCACATCGTACAAGGAAAAACTTCCAGAAAAAACCCACAGTTTAAAGGGAAAAATGGGAGAAACCTCAGGGAGAGCAACAGAGGAGGGATCCCTCTCCCAGGACGGACAGACGTGCAATAGATGCCGTGTGTAAATTGAAAAGATAATACATTTGCAACATAGGTAGTCCAAATGTTTGGAAATGCATGTGTGTATAATAGGAAAATGAATCCACGAGGATATCCATCCAGGACTTATGATCCAGGACCACAGCCACGACTCAAGATCCAGGACTCGTGATCCATGACACAGGACCGCAGGATCATCCATGACTCCGGATCCCGGCGTATATAGACACCAAAAAGAAAAAAATGTGGGGAAGCTGGGTTAATCGGAACATGAGAGTACACAGGTAAAGACAGAGAGAAGGAAGAAGTAAGATGTCCCCCGACAAACTAAGCCTATATCAGCTAAACTAGGGGCTG